ATGGTGCCGGAGATGATGCGCTCCGAGATGGACTCCAACTACTGCCCTCCTGGCAACGTCCACGGGCGGTTCTTCGTGACACCCAGCTTTGGGGGTCCACAGTTCGTTGAGAACATTAAGCCTGAGCCTGATATGGACAATTATGGACCGGTCTTGGGTCTGGTGCCCCAAGCTTGCCCGAAGATTAAGCAGGAGGGCAATGCAACCTGCATGATGGGCTATGAGCAGCCCCGAGTGGCCAGCTCCCCCCAAATCCCCGGGGCAGAGACACCCCCGCTGAGCCCCGATGATCTCATGGTGACTGACTGCCACACGCAGATGATGTGCCCCTCGTCCGTGTCCTTCCAGCAAAGCTACCACCCAGCCTCCGGCTTCCACCACCCCCAGACCCATCTCCAGTACCAGAACACCTCCCAGTTTGGTCTTTTCGAGGACAGCCTGCCCTTACAACCCTCCGCTCCCAGAGGCATGCTCACCCCTCCGTCCTCCCCTCTGGAGCTGCTGGACTCCAAACCAAAAAGAGGACGTCGGTCCTGGCCGCGGAAGAGGACAGCCACTCACACGTGCACCTACGCGGGGTGCGGGAAGACCTACACCAAGAGCTCGCACCTGAAGGCCCACCTCAGGACGCACACAGGTAAAGGGGACTGGTTCCTTCATCCGGAGAGCCGCTGTGATAGCCGCCTCCATAAAACAGTTTCCAGCTGAGCTTTAACCCCGTAGTCTCTTAAACTCCAGGAGTATTAATGGTTGAGCTATGACAGGTGATCAGATCTATAAATGTCTAATTGTTTTCCTAGATCTATAATGTCCAAGTGTTCTCCTATCAAAGCTTTTCTAAGGGCTTCCAATGTCCTGTCTCAAAAGATTTTAGCTTAATGAAGGTAGAGCTTAATAAAGGTAAAGGTATGGCTTAATAAAGGAATTGCTAGAGCAGTCTCGTTCGGCTTACAAGCACTTGGATCTTATTGTGGAAGGGCTTGGTAGCAAACAAAAGGATACGCTGAGATAAACTCGGCAGGTTGGCCGGCATGTGATGCTGCCCGTCCGTGGGAGTGCCGCGCTGAGTCACCCTCTCTGTGATTTCTCCGCCAGGTGAAAAGCCCTACCACTGCAACTGGGACGGCTGCGGCTGGAAGTTCGCTCGCTCCGACGAACTCACCCGTCATTATCGCAAGCACACCGGCCACCGGCCCTTCCAGTGCCACCTCTGCGACAGGGCGTTCTCCAGGTCGGACCACCTGGCGTTGCACATGAAGCGGCACATGTAGCCCCCCCCGGACTGGGACCTGCCGACAGCGGACGTTGTTTAAACTGCTCAGGTGCAGAAGCGTGACAAACTTGTAGCTGGTACTACGTTAGGGAAGGCACCGACGCTCTGGCGATGGAAGCTGAGGAGGATTCGACACAAGGAGACTTAGCCAGGCTTCTCCTGCAGAGAATTTGATGTGACTGTATCCGTGACCCTGCCCATCCCGGGCAGGAGAAGAGGGGTTATTTATGCAGCTTCTGGGAAGGGAAAACTCCGTAAGACTCCATACAGATTGTATAGAAGAAGCTGTAAATATTTTGGTTTTTTTTTTTTTCCAATTCTAACTGCCCGGTCCTAAGCTTTACAAGACAATGTTTGTATGGAAACTGCCTGAAGTTGACCCTAGAAGAGATTAAATGAATGTTTCTGTAGCTAACGATGTTATTTTAGGTCTCAGTTGAAGGCATGGCTAAGAGAACACTCCTATTGTTAGACTGTTTGTTTCACAGGTGCAATAATATTCTTGTTTGCCATGATCTACACTAGAAGTACAGGGCTTGATGTCTTGTAAGAAAATAACCTATTTTACTGTAATTTTTTTATATATTGTAAATAATTTTATACAATGAGAAATATTGTATATGTAAATAGAAGACAAATGGGTATTTTGCCTATTTCTGTTTTTATAAAAACGTAATTTTTCAATGTTTGAAAACATTTCATCTTTTTAATAAAATAAGTTTTTCATCGCTGTGATTTTTATTCTCCTTCAACATCTCCCCATTGCTTTTTCCCCTGATGCCTGGACCAACAACCACCTGGTTATGTTTTAAATTATCAAGGACTGTAAGAAGACACTTTAAAAAAAATCTGAGCTATGGATTTTTCTAAAATAGATAACAGAGAATGTAATTCATTCTCAGCAGTAAACAAGATACAATAGGGTGTTTTATCCAAAAAATCAAATAGGAAAGTAGATCATATTCAAAATATACTTCCTAAAAATGGTTAAGTAAGCAACACTGTAATTTCAGTCTCATTTCTAGTTTATGCTAGACTATTTTAATAGCATCCTTAATGTTTTCCAGATGCAGTTATAGTTTTGCCAGCAGTGTGTGGGTTTTTACTATAAATTTAAACACTGCATTTTTGTAATTACGGAGGCTTATTTTAAGGCATTCTTGTACATAAATTATCCTTGCTCTCAAGAGCTCAGTGCAGAATTCCAGCAGAACAGTAGTGGAATTTAAACAGCCATTCACGACAAAGGGTAAAACACCTTCATAACTCATTCCCCAAAATTTAAAAATTCACTTTTGAATCCCACCAAGATTTCAGGAGTGAGGATATTTACTATTTTGGAGGAAAATAAGTTAGCTAGAAATCCAGATTCTGAGAACTAATTTCAACAACCTGGATACTGCCCTAGAGCAGCAAAGGGCTGCAACAAGCCAAATGGACCCCCCCCTCACCCCCACCCCCAAAAAACCAACTCTTCCCCAGCTGTAAATGAGCTCATAAGCCCAAACAGCGTATCTGTGCAATTACTCTGAAACTCTAATGAGGATCCTCTGTTTTCACAGCTACGGTTCAGTGGTGAGCCTTGATACTTGTCACATAAAATCACCGTTAATTCAATATGCAGAGTCAGCTTAATATCGGAGCGGTTTCCCTTCAACATCTGCGGACTTGGAACTTGATTTTTCATCAAGATTGTGACATTTCTCCTGACTTTTACAAGTTAGAGTACACAAGAATGAAATCAAGAGGAATACACCGAAAGCAAGTACGAATAGAGCCGCTCTTCTGTGAAAGCAAAGTCTGCAGTTGTTCATGTGGAACAGATGTATTTTGGGCTTCTAATCATTGACATGGAAGAATGAGTTCCACATTTCACTTTTATAGCTCTTTCAAAGTGAACTAGAAGGGAGATTTAACATTTCTTCATTAAAAACAAAACTCATTTATTTGCTAGGAAAAAAAAAAAAAAAATAATTGCACAATCTAATTCCAGAAAGTGAGGATGACTTAAAGATGTCCTAAAATTAGCACATGCATTGTTGCAACAGTTCTAGGTATTTCCTTCTCTTTCCCCATAGCCGAAGATTTTCATATTTCAGCATGTCCTTTGGTGTTTAGAACACGATTTTTTTTTTGAAATTAATTCTAACCCTTACCTTCCCACAGCCACCTGGCTTTCCCTGGCTCTTTCTGGAGAGCTGGAAATGTTTGTGGTCATGCCCAGGTTTCAGTGATAAAGCTTAAATAAATTATTCCCTGCTTTGAGACGTAAGAGGTTTGCACAGCCCTGCAGTGGGCTCAGGAGGGTCCCCAGAGCCCCCCCAGCACCACGATGTGTTCCTCCGGCCCCGCTCATCCCCAGATATCTCTGGTGACCTCGGCTGGAGGCAGGGTCCTGGGCTCGGTGGCCTTCGGGCTGGTCACTGCTGCATCCTCCCAAATTCCCAGGGGGAAAGGCAGCGAGCAGGCACAAAGCACAAGCAGCGCATCCACGCGGAGAGAAATGTTGCTGCCTCCAACAATTCTTAA